AGGGGAGGATGGATGGAGGGAGGGAGGGGGGGCAGAGATGGAGAATGGAGGAGGAGGGGGGAGGGTGAGCCCAGGGAGGCAGGAGGAGGCGGTGGGTGAGGAGGGAGAGAGGGGAGGTGGTGTTGGGAATTATGGGTTTGTGTGTGCATGTGTGTGTGCGTGGGAGTGTGCGCGAGTCTGAGTGTGATCAGGGGTGATGGGTTGTGGGGATATGAGCGTGTGTGTGCGTGTGTGCGTGTGTGTGTGTGTGTGTGTGTGTGTGTGTGTGTGTGTGTGTGTGTGTGTGTGTGTGTGCGTGTTTGTGTGTGCTCACATGCATTTGTGTGTGCGTGTGCTTGCATCCATGTGTGTGTGTGTGCTTGCATGCATTTGTGTGTGTGTGTGTGTGTGTGTGTGTGTGTGTGTGTGTGTGTCAGAGGCAGAACTGGTTGAAAATATTAACTCTTTCCTACCCGAGCAGCAGAAATTCAGCATAAGAAAAAGAAGAGTGTGGATGTCTAACAAGCTGTGTGTTTGCGGGTTTCAACACAAGGACGTGTCGCCACCTCGGTAAACGGGGCGGAAGGTTTCACAAAAGCCCGGCTGGTCACTTTTAATATTTAGTTGCCTTTTACTGAACTTAGAAAGGTGTCATTTTACCAGCTTCAACATTTCCTGCAGCATCTTTGTCTGTGTGTGGTGGCTCCTTTGTGGCTTCATGTCCAGAGTTCAGGATATTTGTGAAAATATGATTTTTAAACTCCACCTTTGCACACACTGGCTCTTTCAGGAACAGAACTAAAAGCCTCCACTTCCAGTATTAATCTATTTACACTAATTCATCGTCCCTGTGTGCAAATATTAGTTTGTAGTTCTGTGTGTCTTCCCATAATTACTTGACACGACTGTAAGACTCATTTGTCACCGGTATGAGGAAATAGCATAATTGAAAAGTGCTTTTCAATTACAATTTGTTTAACTTAAATAATGAAATAAAATAAGCTGCTTCAAAGTTTTACTGCTTTTTTTTATTATTCCATCCAGCAGTGAAGAGGAAAGAGAGAGAGCGGGAGAAAAAAAATCACTCACGGCAAAATGCAAATGAGCCTGGAAGCTATTACGATGCTAATGAGATTCCACCATAGAAGTTGCTGCTCCCGCATCCGGGGTATATTTCATCCATATTTGGAAAACAATTGTGTGCTCAGAATAGGAGACACACTTCCCAGTGTTCATAGTCAAGTTGTATTTTGCTCATAAGAAGCTGGAATCTGGTCAGAGTTAGATAGGAGAGGCTTTACTTCACCACTGTTGTATTTGCACTCTTTCCACCGTCCTGCTCTATTTTTAGCATCTGTCTCCTGACTGCTTGTCAATCACCTTCTTTTAATAATATCACAATCAAACTCGTCCTCCTGCCTTCAGAATTTCACAAACATACCGCTTTTTCATTAAAGATATTCGATCCATATCATCTCTTAAACTGTCTTCTTACTATAGGTTCAGTTGCACACCTCTATTGTATATATTTCGTTATGCTATCGTTGACATCATTACTTTACTAACTTTAAATGCATGATATATTTTCATGCTCTGCTATGAACTTCTGATATAACTATTCTTTTTTTTGTCACATTTGTACTAACCATTTCTCTTTTAGTTTTTTCTCTTGATTATCCTTTTTTAGGATGTTTCCTTTCCTGTATTGTGTTATAGGTTTTAGTGCATGTAAATGGTCTGCAAAGGCTAACATCCGTGGGTGTTGTCATCGGGTGCCGCCGAAGGACTGTTGCAATGTCCAGCATACTTGGAATTCTACCGAGCCCGGCGTACTTCGTATAGCGAGAAATTTCGAGGCTGCACATGTGTAGACTCCGCGGTCTTAAAATCCCCACAATGCTTTGCGCACGGACCAATTTCCCTAAATCTGTGGCGGAAAATGTAAGGCGGGGCCTCTCATATGACTCACACCTGCACACTTGCTCCACTCTTCGTTTTCCGAATGCCAGGAAGTATTCTTGCCTCGCTACTGAAGGAAGTGACTCGAAAGATGTGCTACCAAGCAAGCATACTCGACATTGAGAAACACCCCCTGTGTTCCCTCCAGAGGGAGTTTCTCTGGTGATAGCTTAAGGGGGCGGGGGCATCTCTAAGCAGTTGACCAATCAGAACAGAGCCGGCCAGCTAACCAATCAGAGCAGACTGCTCTGGTTTCAGACAGAGGGTGAAAAGAGGTGCTGCAGCACAGGCAGAATGAGAACAATAAAGATCTTTCTGAACATTCAAGCATGGAGACATGTCAGTGTATAGGCAGTCAGAAGTGTTCAGGTTGACATCTGTATTTACTGCCTATACACTGACATGTCTCCATGCTTGAATGTTCAGAAAGATCTTTATTGTTCTCATTCTGCCTGTGCTGCAGCACCTCTTTTCACCCTCTGTCTNCTGGCGCCCCCCCCCCAAAATGCAGACACTCACTATGACTCGTGCATGCATGCACGTGCACGGTTGTGGCATGACCACCAAAACAGAAAGGACACAAGATGTGTGCAAATGTATTTAGTTTCCTATCCATTTCAACATGATTTAAGTGGGGGGGACTTAACCTCCTCTAGGGGGGTCCGGGGGCATGCTCCCTCTGGAAGATTTTTTTAAATATTGAAGTTAAAAGCATCAATCTGGTGCACTTTGAGAGCAACATTAACCCTACCTT